AAATGACTGAAACCCAGGAAAGAATTTGATTTGGAATTGAAACACAGTCAGGAAAGTATATACAATTTATTATTATCAACAGTCGACTACTGCATTAGATTCTCAAAGACGCTCTCTGTGAGACAAACTTACCTGATGAATTAAACTCGCATAGACACTTGCTTTATTGCACATTTTTTGCTAGTACCGTCATTCGGGGTGAAGTCGGACGATTTTTTCAGTTTTTTTCTTAATAAAAAGTATAATTTTGAAAAGAAAATTGCAATAAAATAATTTAGAATCGTCCGTGTCTCCTTTGTCCTTTGTCTCCTTTTCCCACAATAAAACAAATAAACTTTTCGTTCCCCCTAATTTTTTTTATAGATAAAGGGTGTCTTTACCCCTATGCCCTATGTGTGGGGTAAAGGCGGACGACCCTTTATTAAGCGTTAAAAATGGTCTTAGCACATAGTAAGAGGCGTATTCTTATTGTTGTTCAGTTTATTTTCTTCTTCTGAAATTGGGGATAATTTTCAGCGCCTGTCTTAAACTTTTTCTGTCTTGTCGAATATTGTTCAGTGCCCTGGCGACGTTTTCTTCATTATTACTCTTAAAATTAATGCCGATTTCCTTCTTATACTGCCTAACCATGGTGTCAGCCTTCACCTGTATAAAATTACTTTTTTTGCTAAAACGCAATTATTTGAGACAAAAAAACAATATTTTCTAATGAAATTGCCTTGGGTTTACTAATAATACTAATAAAAAATAACTCATTTGGATTTTTCATTTTGAGTACTCTCTTGTGTGCAACAGTCTCTTTTATAGTATGCAAATTCCAAGAAAAAATTATAATTCATAAAATCCTCGCGTCCGTGAGCTGATAATAACATGAAATAATTTTCATTTAAAAAAAAATCGACCCCCATCCTTGGAAAAATGTCGACCAAAAATCAAAATTTTACATGCGTGTTTTTTGAGCACAATCGGTTCCATTCGACATAAGAAGGCCACAAATGTGCATTTATAAAGTGCTTGTCAATAATAAGGAAAAAATCGTCGGCTAAAAATTGTGAACTCTCAAAAAACACTTAAAATGTGCTGAAAATGTCTATTATTTCGGATCTGAAACTTCTAGCATGTTTTTCAATGAGTTCGATGCATTCCTCGCGTCCGTGAGCTGAAAATGATGTAAAATTTAAGACATTTTGAGAAAATCCCCTGACGGGAATATGAGGATTGGGAACTTTTTACGCGGTGCATGAAATGATCTTGACGAAAATATTTACCAATAACGGTCTGTCCGATTTCACCCCGAATGACCAGTACTGATTTGAGTATCAAACCATCCCTTCAAACTTTCTAATGATTGGAAATAAGTCCTTTTTCGAAGGCAAATTTTTGATGACTTATGATTCTGTTTCGTAAGAAAGTTACTGACAATTTAAAAAAGTTCACTTTTTAACGTCACTCCTTTCCAATCAGTAGAACGTTTGGAGCCTGTCGCAATTTATTCCTTTAAGTGCATGATACTAAACTCGTAGAAAACTATGTTGTCTTATCTAATCCATAGGATTAGTGAGATCCAGGAAATCCTCACAGCTTACCTAAACAAGATAACTTCTTAACTTAAAAAAAATAGTAACAAAACCGAATTATTGTAAGGCTTTGCAGCTCCTTTAAATTCATGAGCACTCAAAAGATTCAATCTAGAACATACTTTAAGCAAAGCCTTGAACATCAAAAGTTTGAAGTCCTGAAGAGGTACTGCAATCTTGAAAACCAGCTTACGTCATTAGATTTTTTGTTACAAAATATTGTTCTTTGTACTGGACTATCTGATAAAAGCATGACAAAAGTTGGTTCATAGTTGAAAGTGTGCAAACAATCTTGAACATTTGTGCAAGCTTTATTACGTTGATTAACACTTTCTAGACTATGTGGGTGCCTGTTTTTCTGCATGTATCATCACAGACCGTCTGAAACATTGTTAAATGGCCAAGTTCGGTGAATAATAATTTTCGAATGAGTTTGCTGAACGCAATGTACACACCTCCTTTGCATTGAACTTTGTACTGTGATGAAATATTGCGTGCATTTACACGGAAATTTAAGAATAACAATAATTTTCACATGGACGTAGGTTGTACCGATGAAGCTTGAAGATAACACTTTTTCAGAACACTGTCTTATTTAATTTTGTCTAACTCGCCTAAAACTTCGCTTTATTTAGATTCTCTATAGTCGATGAAAGGAACGAAAAAAATTGATTCGAAAGAGTTTAACTTTTTTAAATATGTTTAGCATCTTATTGCAAATGTACAGAAAATTTAACTTTTTATTATTAAAGACGCACTTCCAACTACTTCGTTATTTTTAGAGCGTAGATGTCAAGGAAAGCTATTGCATTTGCATGCATTATTATGGTTAGTGTCTAGTCTGCTATACATACAGCCATTTAACTATTTCTTAGCCGTCTAAACACGGGCTTATTTACTTTCAATAGTCTGTATTTGAAGGCTATTAAAACTGTTCAATACAGATTTTTGCAAATTTTTTTTGTTAAGGGCCTGCAGCTAATTTACTGGTATTAATGTGAACTAACACGATGTCTAATATGTTTGTTGCTTGAGCAGCAACTTAAAGATTGAAACATCTAAATAAAAAAATCATATGTTTTCTGATTGCAAGCAACTAGAAGTACCTAGATATGATCCAGCAAAAATCTATAGAAATTGTTGCGATCTTAAAGATAAGAGAAGCTGAAGAAATCAAAGCCTTCCACATGTACCTACCAACTGCAATAAACGTTCTCAAATAACTCATATTATTCAGATTGGTTTTATCTTCAATTTAAACTTATCTTATTGCGTCTAGACCAAATCTGTCCATAAATAAGAGGTTTAGTTGTATATTTAAGATTATAATCATTGCTTTAACATGAGAACATGATTCTACATTCGGCAATAAACAAATGTTTTAATAAACTTTTGCAAAATGAATATTAATTAGTAGCTCTTCTACTAGCTATAAGAAGATTGTATATGTTGATGAACTGATTGAATAATTATCTGCTTATAATAACGATAAATTTTAAACTAGAGTTAAGCAAGGAGTCAAAAGTCCTTTTACGACCAATGAGTGATTATGCATAATGATTGCATAAATCATATTTTTTCATTAAAAATCTTCCTATAATGAAAAACAGTTTATACATACATAATGGCGCTTTCAGCCTTGGGAGGATTTCTATGCCCGACTGGACTATACTGGGTGACCTAGCATTCTCATGTGTAAATCTTACGTAAAACCACAATTCAATAAGTAGGTACCTACGTAGTTAAAAATAAATAATTAAACATGTCGTTAAACTTTGCCCTTGTCCTTCATCAATCATGTTTTAAGCAATTTTATCCTAAATTAAATAATATAACATGATGATTGCTTTAAACGCCCCTCAGCCCAAAGCCCCATAAGTTTAGGTCAGATTCACGTGCATATTTGACGAATAAATTACATGTGAGAATTGTTCTTCAGTAGTAATTGACTACAAATGGATGTTAATATTTTGTTCATTTTTACTGCATTTCCTATGATTTTAATTTCTGTGTTTGAGCGGTTTTTTCAACTTAATTTGGTTTGATGAAATTCTAATAACATACAGTTTTAAGTTTTAAACATACGATTAACTTTGAAAAAATGTTATTGGTGGATTTGATTAAAATCCGAGATTTAACTATGAAAAAAAAAATTTTTTTTTCCACTTTAACCACTTTTTAACCACTTTTTGAGTAAGAGAGAATTTGAGCAGTGGTTAATAATCCCGATTTAACCAACTAAACTTTTAAGATTACATGTTGCTTTATTGCGAACTTTAATAGACACTGACTAGGTATGTTACATGAAAAAGAAAACTTCAATAATTCTAATAAATTTTAGATATTCCGAGAACTTCAGCACAACACTGCTTTTTTTCTCCATAAAATAATCTAGTAAATTGTCGGATTTCCGGATAATTCTACTCCAGTGCTTATGATTGATAAAAGTCGTTAGTATACGAAAATAGCGACACAAATGATGTTTCATTATCATCGTAAAGATCGAAAACGAATGCATGGAGTTTCATCAACAGCAGACATAATTTTGATTGGAATCGTTTGGAAAGTCACCATCGAATCAGAAAGAAATTAATGACATCATTTGGCACACTCTAACAAGTTCCGCTGTGTTAAAATATAAATGACCCTGCCAGCAAAGCAAATACTTTTTAAATGGCATTTACTTAAATCAAAAATGTATTTTTATTTCAAAAGCACCTGTTGATACAGATATACACTCCAAAAGAACATTAAATTATCAATATAACATTATTAAGTTAGTATTTTTAAGTTTAGAAAAGCTTTAAAAAAGGACGTCACAGCTTGTTAGGACGGCTCTCAGAGAATATTAATGATAATTAAACTAATCGGAGGTACAAAGTAACAAAATGACCAGGCGCTTTGACTAGATTAGATCAATTTACACCATCTGTATAATGATATTCTCTATAGGGAAATTTCCGTTTGCTTGTAAATTGATAAAATTTCATTAAAATTGTCTGAAATTCAAACAGGAGCTGGTTTTACTGTACATTCTGACGTTTTGGTTGCATGCGTAGCTACATCTTCAGGGATGAATTGGTGAGGTCTCTTTTCATATTTAACCACTCTAATTCAGTCTCTCTCTCTCTTAACTGGCGCTTTAATATTGTATTCAATATTCATATAATCGACATAAAAAAATTTTCCTAAAATCCGCATAATTCCAAGCGCCAAAAGCGTAATTCATTTTCTCGTTTAACTTAATAATAACACAGATTAATTCTGAATTAATTATTCAATCCTGTAATGTTAAGCGTGGATATAATAAAAGTTATAACCCAGATCCACAAGCGTAAGTCACGGCCGAGCTGAATTTTGCATAAACATAACCAATAAGTATGTCAGTTGTATTTGTGGTAAACATTGTGTTTTAATTTTTTAAATTGTGTTTAAATAGTGGCTGTTAAAATGTCAGAACAATCAACTAGTGTGGAGAATGAAGATCTTCCTAAATATCTTAGGGACCGTATTGAAAAGAATCGTCAAAAAGCACTTGCTTTGAAAAAGAGCAAACTTGTTCATCACCCTTATGCCAAAGGGTAAGTATATGAAATAAGTGCAAAATCTACAAAGCTCTGTAACTATTAGTCAGCCATAACGTTAAAAAAAAACTTGGATTTTGTAGTTAACCATAAGTTTATAAAACATTTAAGCTTTTACTTCATTCCCTGCAAATATTACCTAAGTGTGGTGCCAGTCTTAGTTAGATAGCCCTTCATTGTAATTTATTGCAGAGAAGTGGTTTCCATTGATCAAACTACAATAAAGATAGGAGGAACCAAATTTAAAGACACTGGAGGTGGTTTTCTGTTGGAAGAGAATCTTGAAGCACCAGAAGAGCCTCAGGTACTTAATGCTTATCTTTAAAGCAGAAAATGTCTGTAATAGTCATGAATTGGAACAGTTTTTAAAGGAAAGAAAATTGGGTGTCTTTGACGCTTTTCGCCATTTGCGATAGCAGATATTTCACCCCGCAAAGTTGCTCGATTTTACTCGTTTACACTGTTCTAAGAAAAGGTGCTTTATCAATACAAACTTTGGTTTACAGGCTGTAACTGTAGCTCAACCAGAGGCAGGTATAATAGAGCCAGATCGGCCCGAGTGTCGAAACTGCGAAAAACCCTTCGCCACTTCATGGCTATTTGATACATTCAATTGTAGATGTTGTGATGAATGCAAGGAATCAGACACCTACAAGCTGATTACAAAAACAGACGCCAAAATCAAATACCTGCTGCAAGATTGTGATCTGGAAAAACGCGAACCGCCTTTAAAGTTTATCACTCGCAAGAACCCCCATAATGTTCGCTGGGGCGATATGAAGTTGTATTTGGAGCTGCAGATAGAGAAACGCGCACTTGAAGTATGGGGAAGTCACGAGAAAATTGAGGAAGAAAGGGAAAGTAGAGAGGAAAAGAGAGTGCTTTCTAAAACAAAAAAGTATCACAAGCAGCTAAAAGAGTTGAGAATGAGCATGAGAAGCAGCTTGTATGATAGAACTAGGGGGGCAGCGCATTCTCATGAATTTGGCCCTGAAGAATACAACCAAGAGGACGATACCTATACTCGAAAATGCAACACTTGTGCTTATGAAGAAACTTTTGAGAAAATGTGAAAAACATCTTGCTCTGGTTTAGTTTGATTTTCATCTTGTCTTAGTCTGGATATTCCACATCAAATAGTCACTTACTTATGTTTAAATATTTTTTAATAATTTTTTTTTAGAGATTTGAAATGGCTGTCGTTAAATGCCCTTTTCCAATAATCCCCGAATTAGGTTTTCTCCATTCGTAAAAAATAATAAACTGCTGTGCTATGAAATATATATTTACAGCTTAAAACTATATTTATTTGTGTAGATACATCAAAGTTACGATGCCGCCAAATTTCATTAAATTAAGATTGAATTGCCAAATCGCGGAGACCTTTAAGCTAATATCTCCTTTTTTTGATTGGGTACATAATTGTATTTAGTTCATCAGCTCAATTCCAAATAAGCATAACACATAGTTCACATTCACTCTGTTAATTTATCTTATCATTTATATTAGTCAAAATTTGTCCTCTTCTCCCATGTTCTCTTTATATATTTAAATCCATTTAGGAACCTTTGGTATATCTGAAAAATGAAGGGTATGCACCGAGCTGCTCAAAATTAATTCATGGATATGGATTTTCAAGCATTATCTTTGCAGCTGGGTAAAAGAATATTTTTCTTTCTGTCGAAGGCATCTGGTAATAAGGTAGTGGATCGGTTGTGCCTCAAGTGACTCTTCACTAAGTGTCCCGCTGTTAAGGCCGACATTAGAGATAATTCGCCCGCTAATACTGTTCCACATACAATTTTGGCTAATTGGCACGCATTCGCACCGGGATTTTCTCTGTTTGACCCTTTTACTCCCAATATATCCAAGCAGGCGCTTTGTGCTGGCAATATTGTCCCTCCACCAATAGTGCCTAAGAGAATCCGATGTGTTTACAAGAACAACCTATATGTTATTGATCTTACCAATTTCAATAGAAGGCATGGTGCAAGAAATGTACAAATCTTCTCCATCAGGCCCCCATGGTTCCATCAAAGTCATGCAATTGCTACTACTAACATTCTGAGCTGGATCTTGACCAGTAGCTAAGAAAATCGCCGTCACAATATTAGCAGCATGAGCGTTGAATCCACCTATGCTACCGGCCACAGCGGAGCCCACCATGTTCTTGGAGTTGTTCACATCAACAAGAGCATGGACGTTGGTTTTTAGTATGGAGGAAATAATTTTTGCTGGAACTATGGCTTCGCAAACTACAGATTTTCCTCTTCCCTCGATCCTAAAAAACGGGCTTCTGTTATTTCGTCTTTCAGACGTAGCTTTCTGTGTCAACTATTTTAATACGATGTGGTTTTGCAAAGTACCGGTTCATACTTTAGAATAATCAATTGTCTGTATTTGCGCAAATAATCGTTGATTGGTTGTGTGTTTGTGGTGTATTCATACTTTATTTACATTTATTTTATTGTAATTTAACTGTTTAGCCTCGAAGGAATTGAAAGTGAAGGCGATTTCTATTTCTTACCAATTAATGGCGGCCGGCTTTTTATCGGTACAAAAGTTTCCACTGAGACTTAGGATTTCCATATCATAAAATACTTGCTGAACCAATTTCAAAGAGTACTCGGTACCCTTAGACAACATGTTCATGCCCATGGCATCTCCAGTGGTGGCGATGAATCTAATAAATAAAAATCGTCCCGCTATTTTAAGAGTGAGTCTTTGCAGTCTGGCGAATCTGCTGCTTGAATCGAATTGTTCCTTAATTTTTTTGAAGTTATCTGGGTCTTGGATCCACTGCATTGCTTGACTGAAATCCAATGCAGATTTAATCAAAACAGGTCTGGTCCAGTAGGGAAAATTTACCTGGTTCTGACAATGGATGGAAATCTCACAACTGGACCGCGAGTCATGCCATCAGCAACCACACTGCTGGTCACCCCACTAACTTTTAAAGCTCTACATCCTCTATTAGTGCTAGCGACCAAGCAACCTTCAGTTGTTGCCATTGGAATATACAACTCACGACCATCCAGAAGCAAAGGCCCGGCATATCCTACTGGTATGGGCATGTATCCAATAACGTTTTCGCAACACGCACCCATGACCTTAAAAATCGCACAGTTGACTAGAGACGAATATATAGGAAACTACCCAAACTTACCAAAGAATAATCATAATTCCTAAAGGGCAAGTTTTCAAGGAGCTTGGGGGATTCTAACAGATCTCTGCCTAATATTTTTCTTCTAATTCCCACACCTCTTTCTGGGTCATCTACTTCTTTTTCTATTTGGTAGGCAGCAATATTCTTATTTTTTATCAGTAGTATTATTTCATCGTCGGTCAAGGCCGTAGCACCAAGATCTATATTTTTGAAGATCTTTACGCAATCTTCTAAACTTCTACACTGCTTTGGCACTCCATCATCAGAAGAACTATCAACATCGGAATTCGAGGTAGCTAACGTTTGTACTTCTTTATCTTCGTAGGTGGATTCGCATGATTCTAAAATACCATTTCCAAAAGTTGGTTGTTAGAACCCAAAATATATTTGACCCTGACCGGACGAATAATTTTAAATAGTTTGTGTATCTATTTTTTTAAATTTACGCAATATTTAGCAGGAAGTAAAATTAATAAATAATTCAGTGAAGCAGAGTTGAGAAAGAGGTAAAGCAAGTGTGCAGAAATGCTTCTTCTCAAACACAGAATTGTTGTGCGAGTTTCGATTTAAACTTGACATTGTTGAATGATATTGGGTTAGTCATTGAGAACTTACATACATTTAAATTTACCCATTCATACAACACAAAGGACGTTTTTTAGATAAGTATCGCCTTTACACCGACCTGACGACTTCTTCTCAAATAAATAAATGGCTAACCCATTGGCTAGATTTTTGCGTTTGCACTTTGTTTGCAGTACTGACGTCAATTTAAATACTTAGTTATTAATTTATTGAATCATTGAATCACTTACCACCCAAAGTAAAATTGATCATTGGCATTTGTTTCGTTGGCTTCGGCGTTTCTTTGTCAAAACCGGGCTTTATTTCCACTAAATTATCTTTGATTTCGAAGAAAATCAGTTTAATTAAAAGGGCTGAGACCAGTATTATTATGACAATATGATCAGCACCAAGAACCAACCATCTGAAAGACAAGACAAGAAATCAAAGAAAATTTAAACAGATTTTATGGACAAAGCGAATGGTTAAAACGATATAAAACAGCACATACATTAAAACCATTGGAGAAAAGTAGATATATATTTGTAAGGCGAATGAAACATCTGGGGAAATACTTTCACACGGTGTTACGACACTTTTTCCAAAATTGCAATCCTTTGGTGGAAAGTTTAGCGAATATTCAATTACTCTCTGAAGAGGTCGAGGATTGCGTACTTATAAAAATGAAGCAATTCGATAAATCAGATTTACCAAGAACTGATTCGGTTCCAATACTTTAATAGCGGAGTATTTCAACTTGTATATAAATTTAATGATTTTCGGTGTATTAAATGTAATTTACTGACTAATTGCTATTCAATGTGACGTCTTCGTTCTAGAATGCAATTAATCGGTATTCAGTCTTTATTTCTCGTTAGTTCCAATTAATTACTTGATTCAGTGAAAGAGCGATTGCAAGTGGTAAAATTTCATAATCTACTGTTCTGCAATGTGACCAGTTTATACGATATTCTAAGTAATAAGACAAATTGTAATTACCTTATGAAAGATACATGTGTGGCAATGGAATCATCAGTTTTATTGAAGGACTGTTGCACTAGTGGCTCTATAGTGTATACTTCACTGTCTCTGAATGGCCAACGACTGAAAATGGGAAAAATTTAAAGAGTGGTAACATCTAATCAGCGCAAAAATCTACAAGCTTAAAAACATTGAATAGAAATACATAAATATGCAAATACAAAATATTAGCATATTTATGTAAAAGTTGTAGATGAACTGAACATCCAATAATTTCAATGTCAGCAATTTTTTGGTATATAAACTTCAGCGAGAAAAAGAAAAATATTTTTTTAAATAATGAATTCTCACTCACCTTTGAACATGAACTACCATTAAACCAACTGACATGATCAACTTAACTCTTTGTAGGACAGGATTTGACTTGCGATCTTCTTTAAATGCGAATATCTTCCAGGAATCTTTGGTTTTGCAAAAATTGCTCGATTGAGACAACTAAAACAAAGATTATTCGGTGTCTTATACGAATAGATAATATGGAACGCAAATGAGAACTTGTTAACTGGTAGAACTATCTGCGCAAATATGACCGATGATTTTCAAAACCGATGACTGTTGAAAAAGTTTAGGTATCTACTTGTGGTTCCATGTATACTGTTTATTTTTGTTATGTTAATAAGTTTTGGGTCACCTTAGGCATGCTAACAGGAAGTGGGGCTGCTAAAATTACATTTGATCATAAAGGGTGATGTCAAATCTGCCAGCCAGGTTTATTTTAAGACGCAAAGTATAAAATCTTAAATACATTATTTAGATCAAGTAGCATTGGCTTTGTTAATTAGGAGAATACAGATTGGTAGTGCATATCTACGCGCTATGCAAAATCTACTACTGTTATTTTGATTGATTAACTGTGAAACTTAATTTAAAAAAATGTTTTATTAAGGCTGTAACATCCTCAAAGTCCTAGAATTGGATCAGTTAAAAACAATGACTTACCTCTAAAATCAGCGACAAACATGCTGGATAAAAAGTCATGAAAACAATATAGTTGACCAGAACCGACAGACAGGCAAACCACGACAACATTTCTAATCTAGCTACTCCTGTAAAAAATTATAGTTTTTCAGCCAGATTTCAAAGTTAATTTTTCGTTTTAATTCAAGAATTAATGTAGAAAATAAGTTACCCGACATGGTGCCAACGCCAATAACTAGTGTCTCTACCAGTGTGTCTAAAGTGATCGTCGGCCCTAACTCAGCTAATCCTTTCGCTATATTGGTTTTTCTTTCAGCTTGATTGGCCCCATTAAGAGCGAATTGAGCTAAAATAGCCGCTTTGGATAGATCGATAAGGAGCAAGAAAAAGAATAGCGCATCTCTGAAAAAAATATTACTATTATCTGGTTATTTTTTGCGTGTTAACTCACTTTAGATCGCTGACTTTTATCCGAAGAATGTTTAGAACTGTTGTCGTAAAGACCAAGCTCGAGAACACGGTGAAAAGTCCCGCAATTCCTAAAATTTAAATTAATTTAGTGTGGTTTCTAGATTATTTGAAGAGCATGTTATCTATGCAGAAAAGATGAACGAGAAGATCAATTCAAAATTGGCTCTTTTATCAAAGTTATTTGGTGTGCTCCATTTGGAGTTCGCACATGATTAAAAAACACGTCCGATGTTACATAAATTGGAAATTACGACAATTAGTTTCATATGACATAAAAGCGGCATTGCACTTTCACTCTATCGAATAACATGTTGTAGATTGTAAGTTCATGGCCTTGAATTGCTTTTCTCTTCACTTTCTTTGAATGGAGTTAATGGTCTTCCTGCGTTATATGTATTCATATTAAAGCCGAATAGTATTTAATCAAATGTTATGGGTTTTACCCAGGACATATTTTGATCCGAGCTTATGCATCTTGCGGAACTGGTAGTAGCAATAAAGAACAGCCAAACTTCTTAAGATGGTCATTGATATTAGATCAGCAGCGTTGTATTCCGCCTGAAAGCGAAAAAAAATATTTAACAAAATTGTTTTATACTCTATAGCAAGTCTATTGCTGCTACTGTAGGAATATTTTCATGTGAATCACGATTTCTACGGAAGCGGTACAATTTTGGAAAACCACCTGCTAGAAACCCATGAAGAATATTTGTTGCTAATTATCTGAACGTCGCACTTATGCTCACGTACTAAGCTGAGACTATCAACAGCTCTAATTAATGAATACAGCTAGAAAGCCTAATCTCTCTCGGTATCTCTGTTTTCTAATAATTGAATATCATTAACTCATAGGTTATTGATATCCACATAATAGTTGCGGGCCGCTTCCTTCTTTCCGTTAGTTTAAAATCTAGATAAATCGACTATAAATATTCTTAGGTCAAGTGGATGCTAAATTAGTGATTATGGAAAGGGGCGCCAGAATACCACCATGAAAACCTTTAATATTTATCGCTCGGGGTTTATGGCATTTTAAATACGCCAGCCTCGTAAAACAACCTAAGACAATAAACAATACTTTATTTACAAAAAGCCTAATTGGTCGAAGCATTTACGAGTACAAAAATTCTTATAGGGTATTTGCGAACTTAGGGTTTCCGTCAATATTTCTCGAGCAATGCTTTCGTTATGCGGTGTTCTCTAATTTCACCGACTTTGAGATCATTTAATGATTACTCCTAGAAAATATCATATTCACACCAACATGCAGCCTGTGAAAATGGATCTATCCATGCACGTGCTGTTTGAGAATCTCGAGCGATGCATTTAATGTTATTGAGTAATATGGTAAAAAACACCTGCCGAAATATACATAGCTATTCTGAAAATAAGTCAGTATTTTCCTAAAGAAAATTAATCATATTTGGGAGTTTTACTCAAGTTCTCATTGCTATTGCTTTTTAAAAAATAATTAGCCAAATATAAGAAAATACAAATAATGAGTGTAAATTAATTGCTGAATAGATAAAAATTCAGCGTGCTACTGAACTTACCATTCTGCATAATCACGGTTCTCAATCATAATTGGCTTATCTTTCAGCAAAAATCACAAAAGTATCACAGTTATTGTTTAGTAGCGAAATACAAAGGAGTAATTATAGAAAATTGATAATAACTCAATGGCCTATATATATATAATCGACAACAATAGGATGATAATAAAACTGAACTGCTTAACGTGATAAAAATTTAGGAAATTTATTTCACTCACAAAAGGTTGAACCAAAAACTCTCCAAAGATTATATCATAAATTCCAAAACTTTCATCGGCTAAGTCTAGAATATCTAATATATGCAGATTTAAACGTTCCCTGAACTCTGCTTTTAATGCCCCTGAACAATGCAGGTTTTTTTGCAATGTTTGCCATTACTTCGGCAACTTGCTTACTGTCTTTCTATTTAAAAATGCATTGGCGCACTTTTTTTTCGAAAACTGCATAAAAGAATTAGCTTTTTAGCAGTTTTTTTTTAACATTTGCCGATTTGCAACTAATACAAATAATACAGAAACAAATGCGACTTTCAAATGATCAACTAATGGGAAAATAAGCAAGCATGCATTGCGCCTCTTAAATCTAAATGTCGTTTTCTAATTCACTCTCACTTCCCCAAGCAATATTTCAAAATTTTATTGACATGCTGATCTAATTTTACCAGATTTTACAGTCTATATTGCACTATTGCCTAAGTCAAGTGTGATAGAATGGGCAATAAATTAGATAAATTACTAAGGGAGAAGCAATAGGGATGAAGTAGGTTTATAAATAAACGGCTTGACTTTTTAAACGGCTATTAAGATAATCTCACATGGTAGCAGATGGTGAAAAAGTTGTGTCTGGAACACGCATTTCTAATTAATTTCACTCGAACCTGATATTTTAGCTACATTTCCGAAGGTATTTTTAAAGTTGCCGTTTTCGGAAATCAAATATAATGTACTGAAACTGAAAAAACATTCTGACGTTTCGCAAGCACGCGTAGCTTGCAGCATCAGAGGTGATTTACTCTAGGAAGATCGAAGCAAGCGAGATGCATTAATTGAATTAGTTTCTTGAATAAACACACGTTTATATGCATATTGAAAAATCAAAGATTGTTGAACAATATACATAAAAAAATAGATTCTCGGGGAAATTACTGGAAACTGCTGAGTTTTTCGGGCTTTTAGTCTCCCGTGGAAAAACTTTGATTGAGGCAGTAGCCACCTCTGAAGATGCGAGCCACTCGTACTTGCGAAACGTCAGGTTAGTTTCAGAACACATATGAAGAGTTTTTCGGGCTTTTAGTCCGTAGTGGAAAGGTTTACTTGGCGCACTCGTGCTTGCGAAACAGCAGAAAAAACAAGAAAATTCACCAGTTTCAAAATGCATCTGGATTCTAACACTGACTTACCTCTTGAATGCATCCCAAACATGATTTAATGGTTGGTTTTGTCGGTCGAAGTGGAGGTTGCTGTTCAACAGTTAGCATACACGCTGTGAGGGTGAGAGTCGCTACAATGACTTCCCACGGGTGATTGGTGCAAAATTCACCATGTACTCGAAATAAACGTGAAGCCATTTGGGATGAGAATATCCAAGTTATTCCTGAAAAGAAATATTGATTTTTAAAGTGAGAATGATTTTGCAACACAATGAAGTATTGTTCTGAGTATAAAATGTGATGAATCATAAATCGCAAGACTGCTATTTTAAAATAAACGGTTTAAAAATAATTTCGCAGACAGAAAAAGTATAACAAAAGTAAAACGTCAGTGACAAACTCCAGCTTTTCCGTGTCTAATTTTTTGGTCTGACATCCATTAATAAAAGCTTACTTAAGGCGCTTATTTTAGAGACTAACATTGGAAAAAATCAACGAAATTGCAAATCAAACTATGGTAAAATAAGCAAAAAAGCGTCCAGATGGATGCATGGTATTGTCATAAATCCCTTACAATGTACTAATAAAAAGTCCATAAATATGCATTTGACACGTTGTTACAATTGCGAAAACAAATAATTGAGCGATTTAAATACACAATGAAGAGCATTAAATGGCGATTGCTGTTTACGTTTAAACAATCCGTCAAATTCCAAAATAAGCCAGAATTTCTGCTAATATTGGTTCTCTGTTTGTTTAACTGCTTTGTACAGCATAAATACTCCTCGAAACATTAAATCAAGAAAATGGATTTAAAGCAATTCTCTCAATGCCACTTCGGATGGTTATTTATGAAATATTTTTCCAATCTGCAAACGCTTAATGTATCTACATACTTAAAAAACGAATCTAGTCATTGAAACACTGGACCACCGGTCAAGAGGGCTGATATTAATCATATGAATTACTGAGCATCCTGAATATTTAAATGCATTGAGTAAGCAGTAAGTTGGTCATAGAAAATACGTATACATGATCTCATCACTGATAGATGCAAGGTTGAACTTCAGCAGTTAAAATATAACTAATGATTATTCTAACATTTTTGAATTTATAAACCTTTGGTACCATTGGGAATACGCATATTAAAAATATGTATAAAAAATTTGGGTGCAATTGGTAGGGGGTAGTGAAATAATTATACTCCCAATTAGCTTCCCTCAGCTTATTTTTGTAGACATGTTTTCGGATGTATCGTTGAATCGTCAAGTCAGCTTGAATATAAAAAGACATCGAAGTTAAAATTATCCTAATTGTGCCGCAATAAAATTAAAAAATGATACCTACTTGTAGATAACCAAATTTCGGACCTAGCCTATCTAATACTTATTTGCCTCTATCTAAATCTACACTCGTTACAGTCGTGACGACCTGCGATCACTTTAATTTTTTTTTCTATTGCCCCTCAATTATCAATCTGAAGTTTTCTAAAAATCGTATTGTGTTGGCACGATAATGTAATTATCTATTGAATTCCAATTGCGTATATTCATACACGATATTCGATTGCTTAGTAGTGTTTTGGCGTTATTTGGGATTACTGACATTATTTAGAAGAACCCATTTAAAAATCAATTCTTTTCGGCCCAATGGCGGCAGGAAATACAGTAGCTGTGTCTTAAAAAAGAACTGAAAAGCTATCTGCACGAAAACTAGCTTAAAATTCTTACAACTAATTTTTCAAAGATAATTTTCTATTGAGTTGAGTTGAGTTTCTTTCTATTGAGCTCTTTATGTATATTATAATCTCAATTTTAATTATAATCTCACCAGGGTTAATAACAGTTTAATATTATTTTACACAGTATAAAATACAGCGACTTTTGTTACAAAGCAGAAATTAATTTTGATTTATTTTCCTAACTGCGTGTAATTGTTATTATATTTTTTCCTTCTCGGGATTCAGTCAAAGTGTGAAATAAAAAAAAATCATATCGTTTATTTCATAAACTCATAATTAGGAAACATTAGATTCTTTTAGGCCTTTGGTGTCTTGAAACCTTTTGAGGTTTTCGAAATAAACGATATAAGTTTTTTTTATTTTACACTGAAACCCAGGAAGGAAAAGAATATAATAGCAGAAATTAACTTAATCAGTGTTAGTCCATATAGTCGAGTTTCACGTGGAAGATTAATCGCATATCGAAAGACAAATTGTAATTATTTTTAAACAACTAAAATTACTTACTACTAAAAATAAAAATAAGGAGAAACAAATTTTAAATATATAAACTATTAAAAAAATAAATAAACGTGATTGTAGTTCGGTATTATATTTTAAGTAAATCAAGCCGTACATACCAGAAGACGCACGATCTAAGACCTTTAGGCGACAAGTCGTCAATAATTGAGCCACCATTCTTCCGTCCAAAATAAACTGAAGACCCTTTAATTTGAAAAAGCCCACTAACATTGAGTGACGAGTTTCATTCGAATTTATATCAATGAAAATTTTACTGATATAATATACAGGGTTTTGGAAGTCGGTTAGCTATCTTGATATTTAACCAGTTTTAAATGGATATTTCACCCTGTATAGTTGATAACTTCAAATATTCAACAGTCAGTACTTACCTCATGGAAACTTAAGATATAATTAATCTAAGATAATGTTATTAATGCATCAAGCCATTAAGCAGTCCTATATGTCAAGTATATGGAATTAACTGCTTAAGACTGCCAATTGGGGTGTTATTTAAGTACGTGGACAAACTTCAGAAGATGATTGTCTGATCGATTTTGAGAAGAAAACTTTATATAAGTGTTAATAAAAAACGTTTAGTTGTAAATAAGCTTGTAATCTTTTTTGCAGTCGCATTTACAGCAGTAAGGGGCTAATTTCTATATAATTTGACTAAGTTTGTTCACCTCAGTGGCGTCCCGAAGGACAGAATGGCCAATATTGGGGAGAAAAAATTGTGCCCCTGTGACGTGTTTGAAATTTAGTAGAACTTTTTTCCTATCTTCGAGATAAAAAATAACAACCGGTTGATTCCATGTCCTGGGACAACAGAACAAATGATCAAAGCTACTGATTTTGCAAAACGTTCGTATTTAACATTTTGTATAATGAAAAGGAATAATTTCCAATCCTAGACTTACATATACACTTTTCTTCTTAAAATCGGTCACTTAAAAGATACGCCGTGTATGACACGATGGTAATTTTTCATAAATTTTTTCAATACTCGGGTATTTTTACATATATATTTATTAGCAATTTAGACATGTGGACTTTGATATTGACTACGTGATCAACTGATTGACTGATTTTACGTCCATGTTAATAGCTGATCAAATATTGAAATCATCCTGTATACGAGGCATTACAACTGCAACTGGTAATATTTACTTAAAAGGAAGAGTGAAACTATAAAGACCACGTAAAAATTCCTGCAACTCAAACTATACGACTTTTAACCGCAGTTACTTGTCTGTCATGCCCGTATTTCATTTAGTAATGTATGGGATTTGTGGTTTTTGGTTTGTGAAATAACTCGGAGAAGAACGCACGTTGAAGATTTGGACATTTTTTGGTACAATAGAAACAACGAGAATAATTTAAAGCAGATAGTTGTGAGGAATTTGGAATTTCATGAAACATTGGACTAAAATTTAATGGTCTAAAATTTAAAATATTATTTATGTAGTGAAAGCGTGATGAAAAGCAATTTGTTCGTTGACCAACCTAGATCGCAAAAATTTCTCTCTAATTTGCTTCATGACTAACATGAGTAGGTACATTACATCAACAATTACGCCTAAATCTTTTATTATAACGCGTTTGAAACATTAAACAATAGCCGTGCGATATGTGATATGATCAGCTTTTATATATGTACATCATTTACTGATTTCTCTTAACCAAAACTGAAAGCAACTGACGTGCTAAACTGAACATGTCAAGGTCCATGGTCAAAGACCAGAGAGGCAAGAAGTAATTTATTATGGGATTAGTAACTGATTATTAGATGGTTGGTTAATTAAGAATGCGATTAATTTGCTCAGGATTTTGACGGAAATTGCTTACCACTATCTTTAATGTTCACGTTTGTTCGATTCCTAGATGAAATATGTGTTTATGCAGTATTGTGTAATTTTTCCGTTCGAAGACAATATCCTTGGAGATTAGTTGACAAAAACCTTCAAGCGTTCGAGATCGAACGATCTTAAACACCATCCAAAAAGATCTAAGCGTCTGTAGATGCTTCAAGTAATTTCTAAGCAGAGGCATAATATCAGAATTCAACTAAAAATTTGATTCCTTTTGCCGTATTTGCTTAGCGCTCTGTTTTTGATTCGTTAATTATTTAATCCTCCTTTCGAGCTATTGAAAGATATCTCCTAATTGTATACTTCCTGTTTCTCTTTGCACTTACATGTGCTATAGATTGGTTAAAATTTGTTTTAACAAGTCATAAACTGCAGTGTATATTGCTGAGAGTTTTCAATCGATTGTTATAAATTTGATCTTTATTAGCTCAAGTTACATATGTACATTATGCCATGCTGATGAGATTGAATAATAATTTCCTTCGGTTTATTTTCAGTTACTAATCGACACTTGGACTGTATAAATAGTTTCCGAGTTGGACTATGTGCGGATCAAGTCGTACTGATTTCTTTATTGATTTAGCAGCGAATGATTCTAACAAAGTATTATGTAACTCCAGAGGAATGATTAGCTAATATCCAATTCACGTAAAGACATTTGGAAAAAACATTGTCTAACAACTATGTAAACAGTTGAAAATTCATTGTCATCGATTCATGCATGCAATGTATGCGAATACTCTCAATTATTATCACATATGGTAGTGACCATCATTATAATAATCGAGATTCTAATTTACAGTACTGGGTATATCAGTCAAGGTTGTGGAACTTTCTCTTTAAAGGCCAATAGCCTTATACTAACTATTAAGTGTAATTTATTTTTAGATCAATTTAGCGTAACGTGAAAAAGTGCACGAAAATCTAATAGTGTTCATTGCACAACCCTCTATTGTGCAGTACAAGTTCACTACATACATTTCCTAATCAGCGATTTTAAGTCTATATTTATTTTTGCTAATAATGCACAACTAGCCTAGTTAACGAATTTGCGCCAATTAGGACAATTTATAAACAGGGGGATTTCCAATTTTCTGATAATCCCACATCTCACACAACTGCAATCATTTTATATTCTAGTCAGGCAGATTTTCTCAAAACTGCCTCAAATAGCTCATCCTATCAATAATAATATTTAACCATGTCTCGCATGGGAAATTTGCATTTAAAAATGACTCAACCGCACCAAAGGTAACTAAGAAAACGGAACAATAAACAAGTCATTTATAATTTGCGAGTAAAAGCATGAGGTAAAGTTTTCTAAGAATTCCAAAGTTAAAACCATGGGCAGCACGGCGCATTAACGGCTTAAGTGTTTTCACGATAATGAAAACCGAAATTTTTTAAAACGTAGACGAGTACGATTTTTGCACATGGATCTAAATGTACTCAAGTTATAAGATGTACTTCTACTATGCACTTACTAAAATGATTGAAGAGTCCTGATTAAGGACCATTTGCGATATGTGAAGTATTTAATTGACTTCCTGTTGAGGTCACCCTTAAGCTTTATCCATCAGCAGCACGTGTATATGCTGATTATTTACCAAAATGACTAGTTTTTTACTATTTTTGGACACAACAGGTTTTCCCTTCTAGTTTCAATTCCATTTGTATTTACTTGCCTCAAATAAACGTTAAAATCTATTTTTTTTAATGGAAATCAGAAACTCTAGTGAACTAAAGCTTTGTACGTAACTCACTTAAAATCGAGTCAAGTGCAGTAACATGTTTTTGAGTTGATTGATCGATTAGATACCACACTTTGAAATTTTTATGCAATTGCGGTTGATAAGGATTTAGTTTTGAGTAACGCTTAAGTGGGGATACTGGCATAGTTTAGTTCGGAAATCTGGTCCAAATCACAACTTGATCATTTCTTAAATGACGTTGCTGCGATTGGGGAAAGTTAAACATGATTTAATTGAAATAATTGTAAACAACCCCCACAACTGGACCATACTGAATCCCCTTTGCCTCACAAGACCGACAAAACACTCCCGTTTTCGTTCCCCAACAGATACTTTACTAGAACACCTACAAACGCAACTGAACTAAGGACTAAGATCTGTTTGTTTTGTGAATTTTTATTTTTTTTATTTTTTTTATATAGCTGATTAATTTATACGAGTGTTAGGAATAGGAATTATTTTAGAATAAGCTAGGCTAAGACACATATGTACTAAACAAGGGCAGACAGACCGATTGAGTCGATAGCCTTTTTCTGTAGGAAATAAAGATTATTTATATATTTATATATGAAATAATTGAAATATATAGATAACTCTATTATTTTAATTCATCCGAAATTCCTCCATGAGCATACAAGCTGTACTGTGGGTCTTTTCAAATTTAACTGAAGCTTTTTGCAAGCTATCTGCTGTTTAATGCTAGCGACCAACAAAGCATTCGATGGCTGCATGTAAGCAAAAAGATATATTGGCCATTACTTAGCGATAAATTAAACTACTAAACTAAAACTACCCATTTATTGCAAATTGCATGAGGAACCGTTTTAAGTAATCGGAAGCCTTTCCATTATATCAATAAGCACATAAAGCAAGGATTCGAGAATAATATACATAGCCCAGTTTGCAATTCGGGATACCCACATTATTCGTTTTCAAGAAATAGCTCCTTTATTAGCTTCCGCGTTGTTGTATATTTTAGTTATAAACATTTACGCTTATTGTATAGACAATTAGCAAAAGCGAATGGTGTCTCCGATTTTTATGCGATCCGAATGGGAATTATCACTACACAAAAATAGCAATCTCTTTCGACTTCAAGGAAAAAATGGGAAAGCAAAATAAACACCATCTCATCATCTGTGTGCGCTCAAGATTTTTAAACATTTATTGAAAGAATCAAATAATTGTCGGAGGGTCAAAGAAGAAAGGTGCCGCCTCCTGCCTGTACAATGAGATGCGACAAACCCATAAAAACTAAGAAGAATCAGTGTTGAGCGATGAAGGGCGAATCGCTCGTGTGACAAAACCGGAAAACGGTCATAGTACACACCTAAGTGAAAAGATGCCATTGAAGAAGCGCAAGAAGGAAATTAAAAATGGTATATAAATTAAAAAACAACAAGTTGCGGTGTTAAATGATTCATATTCAAACGACTGGTCCAAATTGGAAAGTTAGTTTTTATCATTTTCGTCTTAAAGATCTTGAGCGAACACCGGAAGGCAAGTCGAAGGCTTAAAAATCGAATGGTCTCAAAAGGAAAGCCGACATCAGCCAGGTAAAACGGAAGTATAAATTAAATAGCAATATTTTGCCCATATAAAAAGTGAACACATTAGATGCATAGAAAATCC